AGCAAATAAATATCTTTCTGGTATTCTCTGCTTTGAGATCCACCTGACATTAGCAATAATATCCCTGTTCTACTGTTTTTTTCTGAATATGAATATGGCATGAATTTCTGGCAGTTCCCTGTTTATGTACTGCTGTAACTATTTTAAAATTATTTAACAAAAGTTTTTCTCTCACTGCTATTGAATTGATTCTGACTCATAGTGACCCCTACAGAACTGCCTGTGGTTTACTGGGACCAACTTTTCCCCCCTCTACCAAGCCATTTTATTAGAAACTAATCCAGACATCATATTACTCCCTAGTTCAATCATATCAAGTAATGTTGAATAATTGCTACCATAATCAGTTTCAAAACATTTTCTTCCTTCTTGAACTCCTTAATATCAGCTTCCCACTTACTCCTCCCCAACACCTCCCCCATCATAACCTCCAGGATCATTTATTCCAGTTATTGTCTCTATAGACTCATCCATCCTGGGTTTCATATACTGGAAAACATAGAAAAATACATAACAGAGTCAACACTACCACCAACAATGACAAAACACAACGGAGACAAACATTTATTTGAAGAAAAACCCACAGAAAAATACTAAAAACCAGACTGTACACAAAGTGAATCAAAAGGGAGATATATGTGACAAGGTTTTACCCCTTCAAGCCAGATTTTAATCTATTTAATTTTAATCACGACTATAGTCATGAGACTAACTCTTTATGAGAGCAGAAAGCCTCATTTTTCTCTAAGCAAAAATTTAGTTGTGCGCAATATCAATGATACTGTTTGAGAATTTCCTCTTTCTGTTGGGATATACAAAAACTAAAAACAAACAAACAAACAAACAAACTCACTGCCATCAAAGTGATTCCACCTCATAGCAATCCTGAAGGATGGCGTGAAACTCCCCCGGTGGGAGTCCGAAGTTGTAGGTCTTTCCAGGAGGAGACAGCTTCATCTTTCTCCCGTGGAGCAGCAGGTGGTTTTTAAACAGTTGACCTTGCTATTAGCAGGTGAACTCTTAACCCACTATGCCACCAGGCCTCCTTTGAGACCAACACCAGGGATATTAATGTGGCAATGCACTCTAGAGCCCATGTGGTGCTCAAATTGTTGACAGCCAAGTTTCATTCTCAAGACAAGAGACTTACAAAGAATAGTCTGAGTAGTCTAAGAAGAAAGCCTAAAGTTACTGACATGGGAAGTTCCTTAACCGCTCAGTCTACTCAGATGACCCTACTGTAAAGCTCACAGTCAATAAACCCATATGTTCACACAGGAGTAACTCATATGCTCATAGCCTCCATTGGCATTTCCATTCTTCACTATTAAATATGACTGGAAAAATGTAAATTATAAATCTTCTACAGAAACACTTTAATATGTAAGATATGACAAAACAATAATTTATAAATTATCAAGGGTTCATGAAGGAGGAGGGAGTGGAGAGGGAGGGGGAAAATTGTGGAGCTGATGCCAGGGGCTTAAGTGAAGAGCAAATATTTTGAGAATGATGAGGGTAATGAATGTACAAATGTGCTTGACACAATTGATGCATGTATGGATTGTGATAAGAGTTGTATGAACCCCTAATAAAATGATTTAAAGAAAAAAAGACACCGAATGAGACATAACAAAGCATAAAGAGAATTAAAAAAAAAAACCCTCAAAAAGATAAGAAAATATATCACAACTATGTAACAAGAGCAAGATACTAAGAAAGGAATATGCAGATAACTCAATATGTTATTTGAAATGAAAAATATGGTAGTAGAAATGGCAAACTCAAAGAAGTATTAAAATTGAAAGCTGATGAAGTATTCAGAAAGCAGAGCAAAAATAAGAGAGATAAAAGGTTAGAAGTGAAAAAAAAAAAAAATCCAAGATCTAACACCCAAACACCAGGTTAGTGAAGATCATAAGACTTCAGGAATATTTTCTGGAACTGAAAAACAAGATATTTCCAACTCAGAGAATCTTCAAAGAGCCCAGAAAAATAGATAAGGCAGGACCTATGCCAAGGTTCCTTTATTATAGAATGTCAGAAGAGTAAGATAAGAAGAAGAATTTAAAACTTTCCTAAGATCACAAAGGATAAGGATGGATGGATCACAGTGGCTTCAGTCTTAACAACACCGACACTGGAAACTGGAAAACAATGGAGAAATGTGTTCAAAATGAAATTATTTCTATGTATAGTCTATATCCAAACTATCAATCAAATAGTATGAGGAGAACACAGAAATGCTAAGATATGTCAAATCAGAAAGCCTTTACCTTCCATGCTCCGAAAGCTATTAAGAGATTAATATCATAAAAATATGCAGGCTTAAGCCAAAAAAGAAGAAACAAGATACAAAGAAAAAGAAATCTAATATGGTAAGAGGTGAAGGGGGATCCAAGGAAGACAGCTATGGACCAGACATCGAAAACAGCCACTTCAGACTTACGGAATATAAAGCTGACTGAAGACCTAAAGTGTTTGAGTGTCTTGAAAGAAGACTCAGACAGTGTTTCCACTCTTTTAGAATTTGTCTAGCAGGTCCCCCCCCCACCCTGGAAAACCTCCCATTAAAAAAAAAAAAAGATTTAGACAACTGGTAAAAGTCCAAAATAAAAAAGAAAGACACAAGAAAATTATTAAGTAAGCAGAATTAAAAAGTAAAAGTGGGGGGGAAGGACCGGAAATAAAAGCAGTATCATTTACCAGAGGGTTCAATTGTGAAAAGCATTTCAATAATCACAATGTAAGTTTTCAAGGAGACTTACAGAAGTTCATAAAAAAATAAGATGATACCAGCTAATCCGTCCACCTTTAAAGAACGAAAAGTCCTGAGAATTCAATCATGAAAATAATTCAGTCTTTTCTTATAGTAATTGAAGAAAACTGGCATCTTTTGAACATTTTTTTCTTAAAAGATTAGGAAAGACAGCAATAGAGAGGAGTCAAGTCAGGCCTCTAAGTTGGATGCTCATTCAAACTGACAACCTTTTTCACTTGATGAGAGAAACGAGCAGAAACCTTGCTGTGGGAGAGGACTCTTGTGAAGCCTTTTTAGGCCTTTTTCTGCTACCACTTTGGCTAACTTTCTCAAAACACTCTCCCAATAAACAGACACTATTGAAAGCGTCTCCAAAAAGTCAACAAGTAAAATATGAGCAGCCTACAAAATTGTTGCCATGACTTTGGCTCTTGACCTGTTCTCTTATGCTTTGACTGGATTAATTCCACTTCTTGGTAGCCATTGCTTTGATGGCCCTTTGTCTTCAGGATCATACAAAGTGATATTTCATCTTGTTAAAATTCTTCCAAGAAATGTTTGAGGATTTTGATCCCACTTAAAAAAAAATGTCCATAGAAAGTTCTGTTCTCCTTTGCAGCTGATCTGGACTTGGTGATTTTGGTACCCATTGAGCATAAAGTTTGCTCAGCTTTAGTTTTTCAGTCAGAATTGGGAAAACCGAATCTACTGAGATGTCTATTGTATTGGCTATTGTTTCTGCTGCTGTCAATCTCCTTAAATTATGGAAAAGACTGTTTTCTCACAAATGGATATGGATTATTGCTACTGCAGGGTTTATTTTCAACACTGTCTCATCTCTTTTTAATAGGAGTATGATTGTTAAGGATTATGTCAATTAGACACTTCTGGATAAAGGTAGGGATGGAGCTCAACCTATCAATCAGGTCACACACAGTCTGATGATGCCTCCTTGAAGCCTATTTATAAGAGATGTTGGGAAATTCTCACTCTGTCCTTTCACCCTCCCTTCTTGCTGGGCCTCTGTGTCTGCCCCCAGGGACAGCCCCATGTGGGGCTGAGGAGCCAACTTCGGCGGGCTGGCTGTCAGCGCCACTCCATGTTTCCACCAACCTTGGATCCATGTAACTCTGCACTTACCAGCCAGTGATCTTCCTCTACCCTGCCTCACCTTCCTGAGTTATTGACCTTTGGCTACATGGATCTGAAGAGGGCTCTGACTACCATCTGACCCGCGGACTTGAGTTGGACTGGGCTAGGATGCCTTCTTGATATAAAATTACTTCCTTAAATATAGTTCTTTCTTGGAAATATATGTGCGTCCCTGGTTTTATTTCTCTAGACAACTCAGCCTAACACAAGGAGTTATCCATTTGTTAACTGCTGATTTCTTAAGGCATTATCCCCATAAGCTTTTCATAAAGCATGAATGATTTCACAATTCTTCCATTCAAGCTTCACCATAAATTTGATGTTTGTTCTTGGTCCAATGTTAGCAGTATTTATGTACTCTGACAGGGTTCTTCTCAAACCAATGTCTTATCCTTCTTAGTGCCTGACTAGAGCTGGTTTAGAAATGCTTTAACAAGTTATTATGGGGCTATTCTGTGCAAAAAGTTTTTGAAATCCATGCAGAATTTTTTCATAATATGCACTTCTCATAAACTTTCTAAAGATATTTTGTAATCAATAATAATTCAACAAATCTAGTAAAATTATATTCAGTAAAATTACATTAAAATGGTAGTATAAAAATGCTATCAGAGGGACAGAGGCAAGATAGAAAACAAATTCACCTCCTATGGCGCGAGTCAATAGATAATGTTGAAAACTAAAATGAAACAAAAAACCAATAGCAGTATAACTATGCTAACTTTGAGATTAGAACTAATCAGAGGGCAAATTATATAGAATAAAATGTATAGAAGGACGACATAATGGCTCTACAAAGGAGACTTGCTTGCTGTGTTTTATAGTGAGCCTGTAGAAATACGATCTCTAAACAATAAGCATGTACAAAATTTTGTTAAGCTATTTGATTTAAAGGAAAAGAAATAGGGATTATCAGGGGGAAAAAAGAAAGGATATTTCTAGACATTTCAATTTAAATAACAAATTATTTCCAATTTCATTCTATCAACTGCCTTTCCCATAACTAAACCTGCACCCAATGACTATATTACTGTTCTCGTCCATAGTCTCCAAGTGTAAATACAGACTGGGTTTTTCTAAGTCTTACCTCAAGGAGAGCTGCTGCAGGATCACCTTGTAAACTCTTCCCCAGTTTGTCAACCTCATCTAAAAGGAACACTGGATTATTAACTCCAACAGTCTTCAAGCCATTGATTATACGACCAGGCATACTGCCAACATAGGTGCGCCTAGAAGATAAGTAACAAATTCACAGCAATGAGATGTCAAGAGATAAAGCAAGACCATTTCAAATTCCGATAATAAAGCAATCCCTGGGTGGGGCTGAAACAGTTAATGTACTCGGCAGCTCACTAACCAACTGAACAAACTGTGGGTGAAATATTGCATGAAGCATCAAATGAAGATAGAAGGGTGACACAGAATCACTGTACCAAAATGAGTTGGTGAATATTCCATCGTTGTAAGAGGTAGCGTATTAATAAAACAAAACAAAAAACCTGATGGTGCCTAAGCTGCAATGAAAGCATTAGCAAAAAAACAAAGCTCCAGGAACCAATCTAAACGTTTCAATAAGTGGAGGCAACACTGGAAGCATTCACTATGGGGGAAAGTGAGGACATGGGAATGTATATGGTAGGTACATATACATAAAAGCATCTCTATGCTTTTAACCACAGGGCTTGGAAGACCTAGGGAAAGAAGACTTCCAAAGTTCCATGACAGAGTAAAACCCAATATGCATTCACCAGTCTGAAAGAGGTCCCCATAATAGCCCTCCATAAAATGCTAATATAGAGATGTCTCCTACACACCTGGCTACTCCCTATGCAGCTAATTAATGCCTATCTTTAAGAGCAATCAGATTCTTTTGTCTGTCCCACCCAAGGAGTAGTAAGGTCTCCTGCTGATGCCTGATACTTATCACAGGGTGTTTCCCTGGAGAGCCAGGGACATCCAAAGTTAAGACACTGCCCATTCTATTGCAAATGTGCCTGCAGGAGGCTTGCAAACCTCATGATTACATAAACCCCTATGGAAATACATTCACTCTCTCTTGATTCCAGGGTTGAGAAGAGCCCCATGTGCCTTACTGCCATTTGACTGTGGGGCTGGATCTCATACGCTAGTCTATGCCAAGGCAGCTATGGGCCAACCAACTGGAAGAGATCCATTATGCCCATTCCAAGTTCTGACCCAACAGAACTTGAAATTTATTAAATAATATAATTAATATCACATACAAGTAAAATTGATGATTATTCAAAAACAGCTGCAGCAGTACATTGACAGGGAACTACCAGAAATTCATGCGTGACTCTAAAAAGGATGTAAAATGAGGGATAGTCAGAGCTTATATCAGACCGATCTTAGCTGAAAGCAGAAACAGAAAAATGTCTTGTGTTTTACTGATTATGCAAAGGTATTGGACTGTGCAGATCATAACAAATTATAAATTAACATTGTGAAGAATGGAAATTCCAGAAAATTGTGCTCATGCATTTTGAACAGACACAGACCAAGACGCAATCATTGGGACATAACGAGAGAATACTACATGGCTTAAAATCATAAAAGCTGTGGATCAAGGTTGTATCTTTTCACCATCCTTATTCAATTGGAATGCTGAGCAAGTAATCAAGAGAAGCCAGTATATGAAGATAAATTCTGCATCACGATTGAAGGAAAGTTTATAAATAACCTGTGCTATGAAGATAATACAACCTTGCTTGCTGAAAGTGAGGACTTAAGGCATTGACTGATGAAAGCAAAGAAACAGCCTTTTGTATGGACTATACTTTCACATAAAACAAATAAAAATCATCCTAACTGGACCAATAAATAACAACATGATAAACAAAGAAAAATATTAAAGTGGTAAGAATTACATTTCACTTGGATCCACGATCAATGGTCATGGAAACAGCAGTCAAATTAAACAACATACTATTTAAATATGTTGCACTGGGAAAATCTGCTGCACAAAGGTGTCACTTTGAGGACTAAAGTGTGTCTGACACAAGGCACGGTATTTTCAATTGGGACATGTGCAACTGAAATCTGAATGTTCGACACAAGAAGGAAGACTGAAGAAGAACTGATGTATTTGAATGATGGTGCTAGTAAAGAATATTAAAAGTACCACAGACTGAGAGAAGAGTAAACAAATCTGTCTCAGAGGAAATACAACCATAATGCTCCTTAGAAGCATGATGATGTCTCACATACTTATAAAGTGCCAGACTAGTCCCTGGAAAGAGACATCATGCTTGGTAGAGGATCCATGGAAAAGAGGAAGGCCGTCAGTGGGACAGATTGAAGCAGTGGCTGCAAAATGGGCTCAAACATAACCACAAATATAAGGATGGCTCAGGATTGAGCAATATTTCATTCTGTTATACCCAGGGTCACTGTGAGTCAGAACCAACTGATGGCACCTCATGAAAGAAACAGAGATGCCAGAAAAAGAGACTTGGTAATATGCTTCTGAAAAATCAGTTGAATGCAGGGCACAGGGTTTGAAAGAAACCAATTTGATTTGGGGGCAATATATTGTAAGTTATTGGTTCACTTTTCACTTAAGTGAACACATACTTTCATTTCATGCCACACTCTACATCTATCATAATTATACAGATAATCTGTAAGTTTTATTTTCAAATTAATTGTGACTACAATTCTTTATGGATCTTCAACGAATTGTTATCTCATTTTTGCTACTCCCTGGAAAAGCACTGTATTTAAATCACACAACTTACTCGTCAGATGCCAAAATATTCAAAGACTGAATTTAAGTCCTTTTTGAAAATTGTTTTCTCAAGAGATTCCTGTCTCCAACACAACCATCTCTCTATATACTGAAATGGCTTCCTTAGAACTGACTGAAACATTAACATCTTCATAAAGGAAATTAAAAATTGGTTCAAAAAGTCAACGAAAACATAGAAAAAGAGGGAAAGAGAAGAGATGAATGAGTAAGAAAAGAAGGGAAGGTTCTAAACTTTTATTTCCAGAGGCAATAACAGATTGCTAATTGATATTGGGTTAACTGATTTAGGGCTAATAAGAGTCTAGGATTAATCAAATTTAAATTAAATTTTCATTAATTCTGATCTTTTAGGGAAAAACTATGCTCCCCAAATACACTAAGTGGCATAAACAAGTTCATCACACAAATCTGTTGAATATTAAACTTTTAGAGGCTGCTTTATCACATTTAAGCATGAATTATCTACATAATTATACAGAAGTAGAGTGTGGCATGAAATGAAAACAAAGATTGCCAAAGTGAAAAAAAAGTGCCTTCTAAAGCAATACTTTATTTTAAGCAGCTGTTTACTAAGTTTAATTACAACTTTAATGCCTAAATCATGTGCAAAACAAATGCGGTTTCTGAAAAAAGCAAAAAGGCCTGGTTGCTTAGATGCCACAGCTCAGTGTTCAGTGGAACAGCAGCACTCAGCTTATAATCCATACAAAGCTGCCTCACAGAGCAGGCCTCCCTCAACTCTGCCAGATGATTGGTACAAGACAGGGCAGAATAAACAGAGCGACCTTTGAAAAGACTTGCAAATATCATGTCTTTCATCCACTGAAAATGATCAAGGCCTGAAACCAAATATAGCTGACACTAACCTGTTACAGTAAGGAATTAGTACATGAATGATGTTTAATTGAAATATGAGACAAGACTCAAAATTAAGTTCTTTGACAATATTTCTCTAGAAAATACACACATTACAAAACCTCTGTGGGTAATTTCTTGCTACATTATTATTATTTTTTTCTTTCCTTATAGTTACTGATGGGACTTCAAAAACAGGTACTAACAGTTCAGACTTAAGTAATGAGTCAAACAATACTCTAGGTTGGATATCCTTTCTGTTGAAGAACTAGAAACTTACACACAAGTCACTGCGTACAACAACGGCCTCAACAACTTCCCATCGCTCACCAGAGGCTATAGAATAAGATCAAACTCCTCTCCCTGAGTTTCAGATCTCTTCTTTATTTGCCCACTTGCCACCCCACTTTCCTGCAACCCTTCGGTTATCACTGTCTTGCTTCAGCCACTATAAAAATCCCATTACATCTCATTCATGTGCTTTTATTTTTACCTTTGTTAAGATAGTGCCTTCCTGCACTTCCTCTCACTGTAACTTCCACCTACCCACTAACCGACTGCCATTGAGATCACTGTGACTCCCAGTGATTCTACAGGAAAGAGTGATCCTGCCCTGCCCTACAGGGCTTCAAGGATGTACATCTCTGCAGAAGCAGACTGCCCCATTTTCACCATGGAACACACTGGCAGGTTACAACTGTGGACCTTCCAGTGTGGAGCCAAGTGCTTTAGCCACTCTATCACCAGGACCCTCAAACTCTATATAAAATCCAGAAATTCTATGACACTTTTCCCAAACATCTTTGTAAAAACAATGGCGTGGAGGGGGCAATGTTTAACCTGTGACTGTAGCAAGGGGGAAAGAGAATCAAACCTAACACCAGCCCAAGGCAACTTCATATACAGTGGAGGTCAGACATGCCTCCATCTTCTACCCTTCTTTATCAATTCTGATACCAGCTATACCTCCCACAGTGCATTCTCCTTCTCAGCTGGATTCAACAGTGCATTGATTGCTTTGATTACCTAGAATTTACAGACCATACTCACGATTATGGGTTTCATTAGGGAAGTGAACAAATTGTAATTCAGGATTCAGAAATGCTCACCATACAGTTCTAACAATCAGGGCAGTCTCTTCTAAGCCATGCTCACACACAGGTGTCTCTGTGGCCCTCAGCCTCACAGGCTAAGGTTTTAGCTAAATGGATAGTAGACCCAGCTCCTCCTATTAAGTGCCCACAGGTATAGCACTCCGAAAGTGAGCCACTTGCAAAAAGGAACTCAGCTTTAACTGTTCCATGAGCCTGGAAGCTCTGTCTCAGGTTGTGCTGCGGCCATTCCTCTCCCACTCCTCTGCCACTTTTCACAGCTTAATGAAAAAAAACCGATGAGCTTCATTCCAGTTAAATCTTCCCTTCCCACTTCTGAGATGCTCATTTTATACTCGTTTATGTTTTAGGTGCCATCTAGTCAGTTCTGACCTACAACAACTCTACGTACAACAGGATACACCACAAGGTCTTGCACCATCCTCACAACTGGTGCTGTTGAGCCCATCAGAATGACAAAACTGATGAATACCTGCATCTGAGTTCCAAGTTT